CATAATTTGATTGTAAAATAGAATAAAACAAACATCAGAAATACTTACAGGCATACACAACACAGAAACTCATCCGGAAAATCCTCGCTTCCAATATCACAATAATCTTCTTTACCTTGATTTTCCATTATTGCAGCCGAAGCAAAGAAAGTATACACAAGAATCTGGATGTATATGCTGTTTATATGGGTCTCATTATTCTGTAAGATTTGGGTAGATGTTTCTGGAATAGGGTTTTTATTTTCTTCAAATACAGCAAATTCCAGGTATCAACTTTCTATCCTGTTGCATTGCTTGTTTGGGGGGTTTTGTTTTAGCAACACAATATATTAGTTGTCTTGTTTTCTATTGATATTAGAAGCGGTCCCATAAAGATTAAAAAATGAATATTAAATAAATCGTTGTTTGAGTCACGTTCTCATTTTTATTTTCATTCTTCTACTCATTTTCAATGACACGTTTTTCAATAAAATAATATTTTTCATCACGTCAATAATTTTTTCTTATTTTTCAACCACATATTCACCATTATATGTGTGTGTTTGGTAGGGATTTTGGAGGAAGAACTGATTTTTGAATAGTGATATGATGGGAAATGTGTGGTTGAAAAAGAAGAAAAAGTTATTGATGTGATGGAAAATATTATTTTATTGAAGAATGTGTGGTTAAAAATGAGAATTGATTTGAAAATTGATTTTGAAAATCACAACCAAACAGGCTCTATATATATAAAAAAAAATGCATTCTTTCTATTTTAATGTGCATCAAACACACTCTAAATAGTTAAGTTTAATGAGTACTTTTATCCAAATATATTAGGCCATGTTTGATAGGGCAAGTTTTTGCTATTTTTCACTTTTTAGAGTGTTTGATATAAAACATTTTCCATGTAATTGATTTTCTACATTTTCTTGGTTTGTCACATTTTCTTGCTTTTTGAGGTAAATCATTTTTCACCACTTTGGTGGGAATTGGTTTTCTAAGTAGCTTTTTTTTTTTTTTTTTTTTTTATTTTATTAATTCAAATTTGTGTGCATATGGACGAAATTGCCCCTATTTAAAATAGTCAAAAAAAACTTTTTTTTGCATTTTTCAGGTCAACTAATAGTGTCTTGGATAGTTTCCATATAGGTATACCCCAACTGCATATTTACGAAAGATCAGGGACCTTTGCTAGCACAAAATGAAGGTTACGATAAAGTATGCAAAAATTGAAAAGGTTAGGGACTGCTGCTACAATTTCTCATTTTTTATATGTCAATTGACCAATCAATTTAAATGTGGTTCGAATAGTTAAGAAGTAAAGTATTAAAATATGTTATTTATTAAATGCAATCATTATGTATTAAGAATAGAGAGTAAGTTTGACTTTTTAAATTTGGAGAGTCAAACCCGTTCTCTGTTTTAAAAAGTTAAAATATAGAATGTTTTGGAGTTCTTTTTTAATCATTGATTTTCTAAAATAAAGAGTATTTTGTATTGAGAGGGTCTCTTAGAAATACTCTAACGTGTGTGTAGACCTATTAATTTTTGTTGTTCTCGATCGAACTTGAGTATGAATACTTACTACTTCACATGGATCAGACCTTCTCTCCATTTTTCCCTCCCTTCACCAAGGTCGAGTATCAAGTTTTTATACTTCATATTGATTGATATTATTGATTACTTTTCAACTATGGTCGAGTAAAAGCAGCATTAGTCAACCCTGATTGAGTCAAAGAAAAAAAATTAATAAATAAATAATGAAAATTTTGCCTCTATCTCGACTAGCATGAAAAAATTGTACCCTACTTGACCTTTGCCGAAACACGAAAGTAAAATTACAAACCCGTAGTTTTTAGAAAGAGTCGATTCTAGTGTTCGACCTGTCAAATACAGGACCCTTACTCAACCCAGAAAAAGTTCAAATTAAATACAGTACCAAAATTCAAGCATTAAATCTAGTTTCTACATCAGAACAGGATCTCTCTCTTCTAATTCATAAAACATCATTTAACATGTTCAATGCCTTGAATTAGACAGAATTAAACACACATTAAATTCAATATGGTTTTGTTTAACATAGCAAACGACCTCTAGTTGTTCAAAAGTGAAAAACACAAAAACTCTGCCCATCCTGAGATTTTTTATTACCTGTGCTTTTATAGCTAATCATAGCGTCTACGTGTTTCTTAAGATGTTGTATTATCACGGTATTCGATTTGGAAACATGCTTCTGTTCAAAGACTACCAAAAGAACTAACCTTAAAGTCTCAGTATCCTAAATACAATTTACACACACCAACTTTACTTGGAAGCAACATATAATGCTCCAAAATAAATGTATATATATAGACCACCATAATTTCTCATCTTCATTCATTCACTTCTTCTCTTGCACTTTCAAATTCAAGAAATGGGTTTCTCTTCATTTTCTAAGCTGTCGTTTCTTGCATCCTTTTTGCTGTTCTTCGCCTTTAGTACAACATTTGCTCAAGATTTCTCAATCGTGGGTTATTCGCCAAAAGATTTAACATGCATAGATAAACTTATAAATCTCTTCGAATCGTGGATTGAAAAACATGGCAAGGCGTACAAGAGCCTCGAAGAGAAGCTGCAGAGGTTTGAGATTTTCAAAGACAATTTGATGCACATTGATGAGAGGAATAAGGTTGTTTCTAACTACTGGCTTGGATTGAATGAGTTCGCGGATATGAGCCATGAAGAGTTCAAGAAAATGTATTTGGGCCTCAAGGCTGATCAATTGCCTAACAGAAATCAGTCTCCCCAAGAATTTGAGTACAGAGATTTTGTCGATTTGCCCAAGTCTGTTGATTGGAGGAAGAAAGGAGCCGTTACTCGAGTCAAGAACCAAGGCTCATGTGGTATGTATACTGATAAATCTTATACATACTAGTGCATTGGAATACTAAATACTCGATGGTGATAAAAAAAAAAAGGAAGAAAAGTTAAAGCTGTTAATTATTATACTGTCCAGTCTTGTTTGGACACATATACATATAGTTTGAATCTGACATGAGTTGTCTGTCTAATCTCTAATATGGTGAGATTTTCACATGTAAGTATGTTATATATTGCAGGAAGTTGCTGGGCATTTTCGACAGTAGCTGCAGTGGAGGGCATAAACCAAATTGTTACAGGAAACTTAACTGAATTGTCTGAACAAGAGCTGATTGACTGTGACACAACTTATAACAATGGCTGCAGCGGAGGGCTAATGGATTATGCATTTTCCTTTATTGTTGCTAATGGTGGGCTTCATAAGGAAGACGACTATCCTTACCTGATGGAGGAAGGTACTTGTGAACAGAAAAGGGTAAGTGAAAACTTAGTCGAAATACCAAAAATGTAAATGAGAGAACTATGTATGCTGTTAATATGTTTAATTCTGATTTGTTCGATATGCGAACTGTTTCAGGGTAAATCAGAAGTAGTCACAATCAGTGGTTACCACGATGTACCCGCAAATGATGAACAAAGTCTCTTGAAAGCACTAGCAAACCAACCTCTGAGTGTGGCCATTGAGGCTTCTGGTAGAGATTTCCAATTCTACAGTGGGGTAACGCTCTTGTTTACCTTTCTTGTAAATTTTTATTTCAATGAGGCATTTTTTACTCCGTTTTTGCTTAAGAATCCCAAACTTCTCCAGTTGACTCTGGATCAAGATAAGACCGTGCAACCTGCATTACTTATTAGACAATGCGGTTTTGATCTTTGTAGGGTGTATTTGACGGGCACTGTGGAACTGAGCTTGATCATGGTGTGACAGCCGTAGGATATGGATCAACTAAGGGTTTGGGTTACATTATTGTGAAGAACTCATGGGGTCCAAAATGGGGAGAGAAAGGGTACATAAGGATGAAGAGAAACACAGGAAAACATGAAGGTCTCTGTGGCATCAACAAAATAGCCTCTTATCCTACCAAAACCAAGTGACCTAATTAAAACTTCCACCAGCTTTTACACCTTTTGTCATCCATTCATTCATCAGCTATTTGTGTTCCATCTGTTGTTTAAGAAATATTTGATCATTATGAAATAAGGAACAATGTTTTTTGCTTGATGAAATTAAATATCATTTATGTTTCGGCAAATGTGGTCTTAATATCAAACGGAATGGAATTATAAACTTGAATATTAACCTTCAATACACAGATTGTTAAGAAAAATAAAAGGATAGATTCAATATAAAAGTATATTGAAGGAACTTGATGAATAAACCGAATGTAAAAGAATTTATTCCATCAAACTGGAGTGAACACTTTGCTGAATTGGAGGCTGGGAGTGGGAACACGTCTGGTTACTGAAGGTTTGCTGGTGCACATTTGCTTTGCTGGTGTTAGCTGGTTAATATTCCAACACTCCCCCCTCAAGATGGAACATCTTGAACCATAAGAGAAGGAGAGTAGAGATGCAATCAAGGAGCATCTTGTTTTGAATCAATTTCAATTTTCTTCATCACAGACACTTCGTCTACCTTGGACCATGGTTTATCTTCCTTCTCTTTTGAGAAGGAATATCTTCAAAAATCTTCATTATCACAGACACTTTGTCTGCCCTTTTTTTCGATTTTCTTCAAAAAATCTTCATCACTTCCATCAGATTCAGAAAATAATATCAATCTGGGAAGCCTGCCATTCCAACAGGTTTAATCTTCATTTTCATTTCAGTTTATGAAGAGGAACAACATCTCTTCAGTTTTCACCCGTTCCGACATTTCGTTGAGCATCTAGTGAGCCAAGCTACTATCCTGTTTTGTTTAACAACATTGAAGTCTCTTCTGAACCTGCAACAAGCAGTCACCCACATCCAGATCCATTCACCTATATGAATCAGTATCTAGGCCCAAATTCTGCAATAGCTTTGAGTTCTCATTTATTTTCCCTTTCTCTTCCTCAAGAATCGGACTAGCAGGAGAGAAAAATGGAATTCTAGATT